TATTTCATTTTAATTTTAGAGGTCCTCTGCTTGATTCTGCAACCTTGGGTTGGCTAAAGACCATTTAACTGTTTCATGGTTAGTAAATTAATTAGGGAAACCGGTTGAAATGATGAAAACAAAAATCTCATTGTTGAAATAATTATTTTTTTAGGATTTTTGTCGATACATTGTTAATATTTAATTGGTAACGTCATTAAAATTTGATCGATATGTGGTCGTTGTTTTGAATTTAATCAATTCAACAATTGAGATTTGTACAATCATCATTTCAGCCAACCTCTTTTACTTAAGTGCTATCTAATTGTCTATATCAAAGAAAACTTTAGTCTTGGTAAAGGATGAATATTATACATGGTTGAGGTCATCCTGAATCAGCTGCAGCCCTACCTATTTATCTTCCAATTAATCAACTCTCTCATAAGAAGAATGTGTTTTGCTTAAGTCGAACAATACATATAATCAGAGATTTGGGACCAAAAGCTTAGCTTGAGCTTCAATTTCCTTAGCCTTGTGATTATATGGCTCTGAAGGATTAATATGTTTTGGAGTCATATATTATCTCTGTGTGTGGCTTTGAAGAAATCTTTGCCTGAGAGCAACTCACATGCAATAATTCTCCAGACGATTGGGCAATAGGAAATTATTGCCTTTGTGAATAATAATTGTCCGAATGCATATTTACCCTATAGATGAATTGCCTGAGATTGACGTTAAAATTTAATTTTTTAAAAAGTGGTAATATTTTGTTTAATTTCGAATAAATTTTTTAACCAATCTGTCACGTTACGTGTTATTATCCGAAATTACACTTTTTGTGAAAGAGTATGGTTGGGCCCCACCAACCTTTTTTAGTCGGTTGATGCACCTAATACTAGCGCGTGAAGTGCACACACCTAATGCAAAAAATAATAAAGACGTGGTTGACGTCTACCTAGCGTCAAATGGACTCAGCCGCACACAAGGACAGGAATTGCCTGATGGCTTGGTCTGGAAACCTTGGACCCACAATCTGGCCGACATTTTGGGTTGGGGTGAAGTTGGTTTTTTGGGTTTTGGGATTCCCTTGACAATTGGATAGGCCTGGAGTTGCTAAGAGAATATTCTCCTCATTCACCTTTGACCTCATAATCTCGCAGAAAGCCCAGTTGTCTTGAAGAAAATAAAAAAACCTTTTCCTTTTCTTTGAGTAACAACGATATTCTATTTTAAAGTAATATAAACTAAGCGAAGGGGAATTCAAATTCAGGTTCATTATAGAAGGACTTCAGGTCTAATCCATGTCGTTTAAACTAGCCGTTTGTATAAGACATTTGAGAATAACCCAAAATGAGAGTGCATCTGGTCTTCGATTTGGTTTGAAGGTTGACAAGTCCAAGGCCTACCTGAAGGAACCCAAAATGAGAGTGCATCTGGTCTTCGATTTGGTTTGAAGGTTGACAAGTCCAAGGCCTACCTGAAGGAACCCAGTACGGCAATTGCCTTAAACACCCAAGTTATATGCATACATATTAACCACATCAATTCTGGCTCGAAATTGTTAACTTAATGGTTTGCCGCATCACCCTAGAATATCAAGGTTGAGCAGCTGTCACATTAATTTGTTATAAGATCGAAGTTTGGTGTATGTAACATTGCTCATATGTTCACATATTGGTTTCAGGTGACCTAGGTCAGACTGAATGGACTAACTCAACCCTACAACACATCGGAAGCATGGACTACGATGTGCTTCTCCTCCCCGGTGACTTGTCATACGCCGATACACTGCAACCGCTTTGGGACTCCTTCGGCCGCATTGTCGAGCCCTACGCTAGCAAACGCCCATGGATGGTTACAGAAGGCAACCATGAAATCGAGAGCATCCCGATCATCAACCCTACTGGCTTCAAGGCCTACAATGCCAGGTGGCCGATGCCCTACCAAGAGAGTGGGTCCACCTCAAACTTGTACTACTCTTTTGAAGTTGCCGGGACCCACGTCATTATGCTGGGGTCCTACGCTGATTTTGATGTTAAGTCAGATCAGTACAAGTGGCTTCAGGCTGATTTGGCAAAGATTGATAGGAAGGTGAAGCCGTGGATTGTTGTGCTTCTGCATGCACCTTGGTATAATACCAATACTGCCCACAAAGGTGAAGGGGAGAGTATGAGGAAAGCAATGGAAGAGTTGCTGTACAATGCAAGGGTGGATGTGGTTTTTGCAGGGCATGTTCATGCGTATGAACGATTTGTAAGTTGGCTTAATTTGATTCCTTACGTGCAAATTAGTTAACAGTATGACTGGCTAATATTGTATTTTATGATTAACTTTGTTAATGATTGATGATATGCAAACTAGGGTTTCTAATGTTGTTAATGATTTACAGACAAGGGTTTACAACAATGAAGCTGATCCATGTGGTCCAGTGTATATCACCATTGGTGACGGTGGAAACCGCGAAGGATTAGCGTTAAAGTAAGTACTCTTTATTTTAGTTCAAACTATTGTAGTGCTATGTCAATGTACTCGTCTCCTTTCACCTAAGTTTGGAGTCCTCTGATCTTCCTAAAGATTATAACCAAACTTTAAACCATCTTTATACATATAGGTTCAAAAATCCGGCTTCCCCTCTGTCTTTGTACAGAGAGCCAAGTTTTGGACACGGAAGGCTCAGAGTATTAAACGAAACACATGCATTTTGGGGATGGCATCGAAACAACGAATCAAACTCCGTTGTAAAAGACCAGGTCTGGTTAGAAAGTTTGAGCAGCTCCAAAACATGCATGAAATCTGGGAGCCAGGAGGTGGGTTCATCATCTGTTAACGATGAATTATAGGTCGATCACATGTGACACACAAAGTTTACAATACCTTAGTCTTGTTGTTTTTTTAGATAACAAAGATTGGAAGTTACAAGGTTTCTGAGTGCATATGTTTATAAATTCTTGTTTGATAATTAAGTGCAAGGTGTGGATTATTACCTTTGAGTTCTTCTTTTATCATCATGTTTTTGTATTGGATGCTTTGTATAAAACAATTAGTGGAAAATAAACATCAGATTATGTTTTGTCTTGGATTGTGATGGTGATTTTTCTGTTTAAAAACGAACTACTGTAATTAATTAATCTTGTCAGTCCTAAAAAGGTTTGCAAAATAAGCAAATTTGTATTTGCGAGTCAAGGTAGTTGGTCGGAATGGTGAGCATGACTCCTTACACATAAATTCAAATCAATATTCCTATAAATTAGAGTAGTTTAAAATTTGCACCGCTGAAAAATAAGGTAAATATCCTATTTGCTAATTTGACACCCATAAAAGAAACCACGACTTAGAAGCTGGCATTGGTGCATATGGCATTTTACCGCAATGACAAAAAATAATCATATGCACTCTAATGCGGATTCGATCATTACCGATGCATTGGTGCAATTGACGTTTTATCGCAGTAACAGAAAATAATCATATGCATTCTGGTGTGGGTTTGATCACCACCGATCCCCCTTGCTTATAACAATTAATAATTTAACTCATAAATGCTATCATTTGAATTTAAATAATAATTAAAAAAAAATATTGGTGATGTCAACAATATTACCCAAACATACGACCCCAAATGATAATCCAAATAAAGCAGGCTGGTTGAGTGGTTCGGTAACTTGACTTACAAATAAAAGACCAAAATCATGCCAATTTTTAACTTAATTTTTTGTTAGTCTTTCCTTTTCCAAGGAAACAGGATGTGACAAGTAAATATATGATCGTACTAAAGTCGGAGGCAGATCCCCTTCTATTTTGTGCAGTAATAATTAAATCACGTCAATATTTTATGTTGATTTTTTATAAGATAATAAGACAAAAAACAATAAGAATATTAAATGTTAATGTAACTTAACCGTGATCGCACAAATAGAAGGGGATAGAAAGGGCATCCAAACAGGAAGGCAGACAATCTGCCACCACTAAAGTCTCGGTTAGAAGTGAATTTAACATGGCTGATATAGTTTTTGATGGAAATATTTTTGGAACTAATCTTTGATAAATATGTAAGTAAATCGTAGAAAATAAAGTGAAGTGCTTTTTGCAACCTCTAGTGCTTTTGAAACAAAAAAACATTTTCTTAAAAATGCTTATCATTTCAAAATGCTTCCGAATAAACCTTAATTTACCAATGCCTTGTCTTTGTTTTCCAAAATTAACGCTAGCAAGTGGTTGTTTTTAGCATTTTCTGAAAATGCATTGCTTGCATTTCAGTGTCTATGATTATGAACATCCAAAAACTGCCTGAAACTCAATAGAGTTCTTCTTTATGCAACCATGCAAGGATTGGTCGTTCACTCAAGCGGTTTACTTTTTGAACATGTGACGTCTATTAGACAAATGATGTAGCTAAAACTATTTTAGTTCCAAAAGAGTTTCTCTTTCAAAAGTGGCCACAAAGAAAAGTCTAAAAAACGTAAAAGATGCATCACTTGCCACCGAAAAATCTAAAAGAAACACCACAGAAGGTTAAACCCAAACTCATTCTTCGTATCACCTCCGGTGGAAAGGAGGTAAACATGCAAATCCAAAGAAAGCTCCCACATCACAATTGCAACAATTTCAGTCCTCAGTCGAACGCAAACACACAAAGAATCCTCAAATCTTTGTAAAGGTGAGAACATATAGTCCTGTTTGATCCTAGAAGGAGCTCGAGTTTGTGGAAGAGTATGAGCGAAAAACCCTAAATTCGTGACAAGTAGCCCCAAATCATTTCCCTTTTCTAAAAAGGCATTTTAGTAAACATGTTCATTGTGATTAGGATAAATCCTCACTTTACTTATTGAGATTGAAAATTAACAGAAGTAATCTACGAGTTCGTCCACAGGTAATTATTTTTGTTGTTTTGTAAAAATCTCCGTTAAATTAAGTATTTTCCTTTATTCGCTTTTTCATTTAACGAAGATTTTCACAGAAGGACAAAAATGATTGATAATAGACAAACACAGAAACTGTATCTATTAATGTTCAGTATCAGTGACTAAAATAAAAAATTCAGTATCTATTAATGTTCATCCAAATCAATCGAAAGCAAGACGTATGACGAGAAATTGGACCCGAAATTTCACTCCCAAGCAAAGATATTTTTCGTTCTTTTTTTTTTATTATTTTTTTTAGCCTTACAAACCAAATCCCACAATAATTACTTGCAAAAACTAATATAAAATTAAATTAAAAACCTAAGGGAATAGAAAATATTTATATCAGCTTAATTCCCAGGCGTGCCCGACGGACGGCCCTGATCAGATCGACGGTTCCGCGTGGCTTCGCCGACGGCCAGATTGATTGCAATCCGCCGGTGACCGATTTTTACTTTGGCAAATGTATTGAGATCTCAAATCTTCTCGAGCTTCTCGGCTATGACCAGGGGGTTGCTCCTGGCGATCTCCTCTCTCCCGAGCGTCTTGAAATCGAACGAACACGCGTGCTTCTCGGGGTACCTGTGGACGCCGCAGAACGTGGTGCCGCACCTGCACTTGAAGCCGGTTAACCCGACCCGTTTCCTGCAAACGGTGCACCGGTTCGGCTGCGACACCATCGCAGCCACCTCACGAGCCCGGAGATCTCCGGCGGGATCTTTGATTATATCTCCGACTACCTCCGGCAAAGTCAACTCCGGAGGCGGAGTCTGACATTGAGTCTCGATCGCTGCCGGAAAAGAAGGGAAAGATGTTGAAGGCGGAGAACAAGGAGGAGCGGAGAGAGAGGAAGAAGCGGCGACGGAGGCGGAGAGGGAGGCTTCGACGGTGGATTTAATCGAGGCCTCCTGCTGCTCCTTGATGCAGAAGTCTCTGTAGCATTTGGAGCAGAGGTTCATGGTGGCCGGGCTGCCGAAGAACCCGCAGTTGTTTGCGCAGAGGTGGTGGCCTTCTGGGGCTTCGCATCTGTGCTCTTCCGCCATGTCTACAGTCAATCAATTATTCAATTTCCGCCTCAGATCTTGTTTTTCTCAAATTCGCCGATCGGATTCAATCAGTTCAGATCGTCGTCTTCTCCGCCAAGGAGAATCGATTTCCGAAAACTGATCTGCGATCGAGAGGACAAAAATATTATAACAAATTTGACGAAAAATCTCAAACGGTTTTCCGTTAAACTAATTTGAAAAACCGGAGGATTAAATAATTAATAAGCTGTTTGGTTGCTGAGAAACCAAATGAAGGAAAAAGAAAAATCCAATTTCCGGTTCCCACACTCATAAAAAAACAGCTAGCCGTGCGGCTAATAACAAAAAACAATCCGCGTCCAGAGGATCCGCGTTTTTGGAAACTAATTTTTCGGAACTAACGACGCGGATTCTGGATTCTCCCATCTGTTTTCTTTCATTTTTCCTCCTTAATTTTCTCAGCTACCAAACAGAAAATCACCAACAAAAAAAAATAAAAAATTATATAAAAAAATAGTGGGAGAGGGAGAGATTTTAGTACCTGTGCGAGGAGGAATCCAGAGATTATTTGCGAAGCGAAGCGAGGAGGAGAGGGGATAAGATTATGAACGAGGAGAGAGAGAAGCTATTAAGAATCTTAAGACGGAAGCATTATTGACAAGGTCAGAGGCAGGAATATTAATAATTTAATAAAAAAGGGAGGAGGAATGGCGAAACGTGACAAAATTAGACCGTCCAATATCAATATTAATACGATTGATCAGCCATTTTTTTCCATCATAATGTCGTCAGAGATGTTATTATTTGATTTAAACTATAGTAATTAGACATATCGTGAGATGTTAATATATAATTCTTGTTATTTTATAATTGTGATCAATATAGCTCCTTTTCTATAGTTGTAAAAAAGTATTGAGGCGTTTGTTTAAAATTTTTTACGATTAATTAATCATTTAGTTTAATCAAATTTATCGTTTGATAAAAAAATTGTAAGTAATATTTTCACATTGTGTTCCCAAAAAAAGCACCGTAAACACTTTCAAATGTCAAAATTAAATTATAAGAATTGGAATTATGACAGGAGACAGCTTGGAAAATTCACATAAATAACATGATTGTGAATGACAAAAGGGTTACGGAAAATCATGCATCTGGCAAGGTGGCTTTTTTTTTTTTAAGCTTTTCATGTTAAATTTAAAATTGATAATTTGATATTTTAATTTATTTGAATTTTCAACCGATATATTTATTTGTAATTATTATACTTGTTGTACCAAATTAGAATAAAAATTTAACCACGTAGTATTTGATATTATGATACTTTATGTACTGAGTTATGTTCTCGAAATAAAATAAAATAAAATAAATCTTCTACTATGGGTAAGGGAGGGACGGGTTTGGTTGGCTTTGGTTGATGCCGCCTCCCTGTCGCAGTTGTATTCGGCACCTAAAAGCCGACACCAGAGCCGGTGTAGATACATTGAATTCGGTTCACCACCCCTGCCGTATTTTGGCTGCCATATACAACTTTCTTATGGCTTAAGAAAAAGGAAATATTATCTGCTTTTTTTACCCCAAAATTTGGAAAACGTAGAGTTTCTAAGATTACGAAATTAAGCGAGTGTAAAATTGAGCGCATTTAGTTTGATGCATTTTTTTTTAATTTTTGTTGTAGTTTATTTTGAGTGAAGTAAGGATTTGTCCCTCGGCACATGAGAGATTTGCAAGTGGTATTAAAAGGAGAATTATAAAAAGTAAGGGTAGAATGACGGCAAGTTCAGAGCTTTTTCGATTTCGAACCAATATTGAGCTAAAAAACTAAAATCTTGTCAACCACGTTGAAAGGGTTTTAAGTTTGAAGCACAATCAATTTTCGGCGTTTGCTAAAGAAAGTTTCAAGTAGTAAACCCTAAACCTTATAAAAAATTTATCGTCATAGTTTATCAGGCAACTTGAAGTTTACGGCTTGGTGGATGAGAGATTTGCGAGTGTACAACCAAGTACAAATATAAAACCTTAATTAAAATGAAAATCTGAAGTGTAACTTCATTGATAATATCATCACGAGGACATATTTCTCTATGAATTTCACTTATACATGTCTTGAAATGCACTTATTTTTCATATCCGAATGGATCAAGAAAAGAGCTCAACTGATTATTTGAACTTGATTCCGCAAGAGCATTGACAAGTTTCCTGCACACAATGCATGATGCAGTGAGGATCCTCACACTTATACTCATAGCATTGTTCTTCACTTATGCATTCCAGATGATAGGGTGTCGGAGACAGGGATGCCAACGCAGACGAGGATAGGGGATCAGCGTTCCTTGCAGCTTCCAGTTCTCTACTTTTAGCTCCATCTTGCAAACCTGCATCGACGTCCATGTCCGATAACATTATATATGCAATCCAGTACTAATATATATATCACCCTTACATATGTATATATCTCCACCTAGACATCACACACACACACACACACACATATATATTGATTCTAAATATTAATAACAAAACTTTAGGCGCATTGTCGAAGATATTTAAAATTTGATCAAATGAGGATCTACCAAGGATGAGAAGGAAGCACACTATTATCGCACAAGTCTTCGTCATTTTTCCTCGGAGGAGTATGTGGTATCTAAGTTAGTAGTGAAATTCTGCTCTTCTAAACTTCGTGATGGTAGCATTATGAGCCTATAGGGCCATATTTATATGGTGATCATAGGTGTTTTTGTATCCGTTGTATGATATTATACTCGATTAGGAAAATAACAATGTTGCAAGGTTTGTGCATTTCTGGAAACGTATCAAGGCCCGTTTTATAGCGTTTATGGAAAGAAATCACAATGCATTTTCTGAAGAGATTATAGTTAGCATAGGAGAACACGATGCACTTAGACACGTTAGAATCCATGAATGGAAGTTTCCTCATTGCTGAATGATTACTTGCTACAGATGGCATTGTGATCCCTAATCTGAGGAGATTTGTTTCCATTTTGAAGAAGAAAGGTTTTCCACAGAAGAGGCACGGCGTGTTTTGGTCTGAAATCCGTTCTCAGAAAGTTTCCAAACTAATGTACGGCAGAGGAGTTTTGGAATCTTATTGCATATAGGTAACTTTTATATGAACGGTACAGCGAAAAATTAGCACTGTACATGTTGTTTTGATGCAGTTAACAAAGCATACTGCATACCAGTTCTCACTGCATAATGCATTGTGTGCTAGGAACTTGTCAGTGTTCTTGTGGAAAAGACATGTACTTTAGATCAAATTCAAATAATCCCTTGAGATCTTTGCTTGTGGTATTAATAAAGGCAGTCGGATATTATGAAAAATAAATGAAAATCAAAACATGTGTAAGTGAAAATCAAAGAGAAATATATCCTTGTGATGAAATTATCAATGAAGTTATACTTGATGGTTTATATTTTTACATGTCATCCAATCGTATTATATAACTTTTAATGTATTTTTATGTTTGTAAAAATAATAAGATAATTACATTAAATTTATATGCAATGTATCCTCCATTAACTATACGAATAGAGAATGCATGGAAGTCTGAATACAATGAATACAAAAACACCTATGATCACTATATAAAAATATGGCCCTAGAAACTCGAGGCCTCATATCATGCATGCTTAGATAACTAGGTCACTCGTAATTGTCTTTAGCAATTCACTTAGTCAGTTGATTAACCAACTCCATCTATTCAATGCCTTCATAAACTCAATCTTGAACGCTCCTCAAAAAAACACTTTTTATATAATTCATTATGCTTTGAATAATAGTGCTTATGAGCTAAAATACTTTCTGCATAAGCATTCTAAAACGAAAAATAATAATTAAAACACTTTTTTCCTACCCTTATTTAATATTGTATGCGTTCAATTTGATCCGTTTACTTTGATGATCTAAATTTTTTATTATTTTTTATTTTTTTAAAAATAGTAATTATTATCATTTTCTTTCTCAAAAATGTCCCTAGTCATTGGACCTAAATGTCAAGGTCTCAGCCCACTTTAAAAAGAAAAAGAACTTTTTTTTTTCTTTTTTCCAACAAAAATAAAAAATAAAAAACAAAAAATCTGACACAAAGAGATAAAGCTACATACTTTGCTCGCATTCTGCTCCTCTATAAAAGCCCATTTTTTTCCATCATAATTTCGTCAGAGATGTTATTATTTAATTTAAATTATAATACGTAAATCTCTACTAGTTAATAAAAAAATTTTTGTCAATCAAAATATGATGAAATGATTAATTAGTCTTTTATGACACAAAAAAAAATGATGGGTAATTGACACACCCAGACCGAGATCAGGGCGTGCTGGCCGTCACGCGAAGGTGATGTAGCCATGTGCACAGTGCGGAAGCTATTAGAATAGTAATATAAAAGTACGAATAATCAAAAACTAGCATGCATAAGGTCAAAGTAAGTGTACTAGCGTAAGTGAGACGCTAAGTTCAGAGTAATAAGTCTACAGCAGTCCAAATTTAAATTAAACCGACAACAGTGCACCCGAAGGTGACCCTACATTGGTGCGTGTCTGTCAGAAGCGCCGGGAAGCCCTCTAGGAAACCACCGAACCTGCTAAGCAACTAGAACCTGGAGGGGCGCAAAACAAAAGCGTGAGTGGGCAAAACAAAGCTTTATGAAAACCATATAGTAAAGTACATTCTAACCCCTCGCCGTAAAACCTGTATACTTCCCAGAAAAATAAACATATATACGTATGTATACATAGGCCAATCATGCCCAAGAATATGCCATGTTCAAGCCTCATAATGAAATGCAAGTGCTCAGGTATAAATCGTATCAATAACATATCACTGGCAGCCGGAGTCACCTAAAGTGACTTGTGCGGTTGAATCTAGAGCTCAAATCTCAATCGCAATGACTAAACCTGCCCACGAGTCGGAACCACCTACGGTGGTCTGTACGACAGGCCTGGGTGTAATGCATATAAACGCTCTAGTGCTACGATCACGTGAAGGCTGTGCGAATAATCGCGAGTCACCTACGAGTCGGAACCACCTACTGTGGTCTGTACGACAGGACTGTGCACCTAACTTGGATCCAAGCTAAGCGTGTGGTGCGGGAGGTGAATGACACGTGAAGGACTGTGCCCTACTCAGGGCGGGAGCACTAACACCGGGGGTGCAGGTTATGAGCTCTCTAAGCACCTCTAGCCACTATTTATTGCGAATATTAAATAACGCTTACCTGGCACTTACCTGTGCCTCCACAGCACCAATATATATATATAAATGTATAAATGAATATATTTAATAACCATATATGCAACTAACCATGCATAATAACCAATAATAATAAAGGAATGGCATAAACTATTAAACATATACATAAATTTCTGGGAATTTTAAGTATATAGGTATATACGGAAAACAAAAGCCCACTCACTGGTATGTGGAGGGTCGTAGCCCCCCTGCCTCGAGTGAGCACGCTCGTCCTCGGGATACGTATCATCTATATGCGAAAATACTATAAAAACGTTAATTTTAAAGCACATAACCTTCCTTTCAAAATAACTTCTCATACATTGCTCAAAATGGACAATTGAATATACCAACGTGCTCTACACAACCTCAGGATCACAACCATAATTTTAGAAAAATTTTCCACCGCCGCACGCGCCCCCACGCGCCGGCCAAGGCACGGCCACACGCG